CCGGACTGACGACGCACACCACTGGCTTGGTGTGGGGAACAGGCCGGGCCGGGCTGGCGACGCGCACCACTGGCTTGGTGCGGGGAGCAGGAACAGGCCGGGCCGGGCTGGCGACGCGCACCCCTGGCTTGGTGCGTGGAGCAGGAACTGGCCGGGCCGGGCTGGCGATGCGCACCCCTGGCTTGGTGCATGGAGCAGGAACTGGCCGGGCCGGGCTGGCGACGCGCACCACTGGCTTGGTGCGGGGAGCAGGAACTGGCCGGACCGGGCTGGCGACGCGCACCATTGGCTTGGTGCGGGGAGCAGGAACAGGCCGGGCCGGGCTGGCGACGTGCACCATTGGCTTGGTGCGGGGAGCAGGAACAGGCCGGACCGGGTTGGCGACGCGCACCACAGGCTCGATGCGAGGGACAGGAACAAGCCGGACCGTACTGGGGACACACACCACTGGCCCTATGCGGGGATCAGGAACGGGCCGGACCGGACTGGTAACACACCCCAGTACCTCTCGCCGTGCCTCTACACTTTCCTTCCCCTTTAATACCAGTGGCCCCCGTAACCTGGCGGCCTCCTCTGCCAACCCGCTGGACCGCTCTATCGCGGCCTCCTGCTGCCCCGTCGTCCACGGCGTGAGCCCCCCCCTAAAAAATGTCTGGGCGGCTCTCCTCTTGGACCAGGCCTCCATGTCTCTAGCCAGACACTCACTCCACTGCTTCAAAGTCCAACCTCTCTGCTCTTCACTTGGCTTGGCCCAGTCGAGACTCTTACTCCACTGCTCCAACGTCCAACCTCTCTCCTCTTCACGCTGCTTGGTCCAGTTATGGTGGGATCTTCTGTCACGTTCGTCGGGAACAGAGGACCAAGGCGCAGCGTGGAAGGTGAACATACTTATTTATTTAATGATACACGAACAAAACAACAAAACGATAACGTGACGTCCTTGGTTACCATAAACACACCAACACGGAACAAGATCCCACACCCCACTGTGGCAAACAGACTGAATAAATATGGTTCCCAATCAGAGACAACCAGCAACAGCTGACACTAGTTGCCTCTGATTGAGAACCACATTGGCCAACCTAGAAACACAACAACTAGAATCGACAAAGGAAACTCACACCCTGGCTCAACATACAAGTGTCCCCAGAGCCAGGGCGTGACAAAAGGAGTGGCTCAAGAAGAAGCACATTAAGGTCCTGGAGTGGCCTAGCCCATCCACTAGCCGCCCCACCACCGTTGTTATTGTTTCTGTTGCCGAGCTGAGGAGCGCGGTGTTGCCGCATGGTGAAACAAATTGCAGTACATATTGTGCTCTTTTATCGTGCACGCGATGATGTCAGAGGGGGAAAAACACTGTGTTGGTTGTTTTCAGTAACTTCTTTGTTGTTGTAATATCGCAAACGGACGTGGCAGTGTCACTGTTAAGGATTCCAGCTTTGAGTGAGTTTCTGTGTTCACTTCAGGATTCACTTACCTGCATCTCCTGCTCAATGCGTAGTCTCTCCCTGCCCAGCTCCTCCTGGTAGAACTGTAGGAGAGAGAAACAGGTGGCTTAGAAAGTTAGGTGTGTGTGTATGTGTGTGTGTGTGTGTGTGTGTGTGTGTGTGTTTGTGTGCGTATGCGTGTGCGCGTGTGCGTGTGTGTGTGAATAAGTTGTTGCGTGTGTCTGAGTAATGGTGATATCAGTCCCACGGAGGGTAATTAATATCTCCTTCTCAGAAAAGCTGTACAACAGCTGTAGTGAAGATCAGATAATTCAGAGAGTAGCAGAGTACACTGCGTTCTGTTGACAGTCGTCCAACAAAATGCATCACACTACCACTCTGCCTGCTGCCACAACAACACAACTTAACACAACTGGTAGATTGAACAGGACTAGCTGCATGGGTTACGGTAGGCTACAGTAAATACAAATGTAATTAATTGATTCTGAAACAGATCAAAGCATTAAAGGTCAACTCAGCGAAATGACGTTGCCACGAGCAGCACCGCAGATATTGAGATGATCGAGATGCAACACTTCGCTCTCTCAGTCACACACAGTATCGGCGCATGTACACGGGATTGCTTCACGCTGTTCACAACGTGGTAGCCAGGGCACCAAAACAGCGGAGAAGTTGAGCCTCGCTCTTCAACGCTCTTAGGTGTTGCGGTAAAATTGACCATATGCAATTATTCCATCATAACAAAGTTCGATTTTGACAACCGAAAGGATATTGAAAAATGTATATTTTTGAATGTTTTCCTGGTGAATATGTTTCTAAACCTTTAGTAACCTGAGTGTAGCGGTCTGTGGGTTTGAACACACACAAATAGGTTTGTTGCTATGTGTTTTTTGACAGGAGTGTCTATGTGTGTGTTTGCGTGTGTTAGCTATAACAGGTGTGTTTCCATATGTTTCCATGTTGTTTGCGTGTGTGGGGACGGGGGAGATATGGGTACGGGGGAGATATGGGGACGGGGGAGATATGGGGACAGGAGAGATATGGGGACAGGGGAGATATGGGGACAGGGGAGATATGGGGATGGGGGAGATATGGGGACAGGGGAGATATGGGGACGGGGGAGATATGGGGACAGGGGAGATATGGGGATGGGGGAGATATGGGGACAGGGGAGATATGGGGATGGGGGAGATATGGGGACAGGGGGGAGATATGGGTATGGGGGATATGGGGACAGGGGAGATATGGGGACGGGGGAGATATGGGTACGGGGGAGATATGGGGACAGGGGAGATATGGGGACAGGGGAGATATGGGGATGGGGAGATATGGGGACAGGGGGAGATATGGGGATGGGGGAGATATGGGGACGGGGGAGATATGGGGACAGGGGAGATATGGGGACGGGGGGAGATATGGGGACAGGGGAGATATGGGGACGGGGGGAGATATGGGGACAGGGGAGATATGGGGACGGGGGAGATATGGGGACGGGGGAGATATGGGGACAGGGGAGATATGGGGACGGGGGAGATATGGGTACGGGGGAGATATGGGGACAGGGGGGAGATATGGGTACGGGGGAGATATGGGGACAGGGGAGATATGGGGACGGGGGAGATATGGGGACGGGGGAGATACGGATGAAGAATGACTATGGGTGAGGAGGGGTGAGGTTTTGAAAAGCATGTTAGCTATAGCTAAAGGAGGGGTGAGTAGGGTTGAGGAAGGGTTGAGCTACAGTGGGGAAAAAAAGTATTTAGTCAGCCACCAATTGTGCAAGTTCTCCCACTTAAAAAGATGAGAGAGGCCTTTAATTTTCATCATAGGTACACGTCAACTATGACAGACAAAATGAGAATTTTTTTTCCAGAAAATCACATTGTAGGATTTTTTATGATTTTATTTGCAAATTATGGTGGAAAATAAGTATTTGGTCAATAACAAAAGTTTCTTAATACTTTGTTATATACCCTTTGTTGGCAATGACACAGGTCAAACGTTTTCTGTAAGTCTTCACAAGGTTTTCACACACTATTTTGGCCCATTCCTCCATGCAGATCTCCTCTAGAGCAGTGATGTTTTGGGGCTGTCGCTGGGCAACACGGACTTTCAACTCCCTCAAAGATTTTCTATGGGGTTGAGATCTGGAGACTGGCTAGGCCACTCCAGGACCTTGAAATGCTTCTTACGAAGCCACTCCTTCGTTGCCCGGGCAGTGTGTTTGGGATCATTGTCATGCTGAAAGACCCAGCCACGTTTCATCTTCAATGCCCTTGCTGATGGAAGGAGGTTTTCACTCAAAATCTCACGATACATGGCCCCAATCATTCTTTCCTTTACACGGATCAGTCGTCCTGGTCCCTTTGCAGAAAAACAGCCCCAAAGCATGATGTTTACACCCCCATGCTTCACAGTAGGTATGGTGTTCTTTGGATGCAACTCAGCATTCTTTGTCCTCCAAACACGACGAGTTGAGTTTTTTACCAAAAAGTTCTATTTTGGTTTCATCTGACCATATGACATTCTCCCAATCCTCTTCTGGATCATCCAAATGCACTCTAGCAAACTTCAGACGGGCCTGGACATGTACTGGCTTAAGCAGGGGGACACGTCTGGAACTGCAGGATTTGAGTCCCTGGCGGCGTAGTGTGTTACTGATGGTAGGCTTTGTTACTTTGGTCCCAGCTCTCTGCAGGTCATTCACTAGGTCCCCCTGTGTGGTTCTGGGATTTTTGCTCACCGTTCTTGTGATCATTTTGACCCCACGGGGTGAGATCTTGCGTGGAGCCCCAGATCGAGGGAGATTATCAGTGGACTTGTATGTCTTCCATTTCCTAATAATTGCTCCCACAGTTTATTTCTTCAAACCAAGCTGCTCACCTATTGCAGATTCAGTCTTCCCAGCCTGGTGCAGGTCTACAATTTTGTTTCTGGTGTCCTTTGACAGCTCTTTGGTCTTGGCCATAGTGGAGTTTGGAGTGTGACTGTTTGAGGTTGTGGACAGGTGTCTTTTATACTGATAACAAGTTCAAACAGGTGCTATTAATACAGGTAACGAGTGGAGGACAGAGGACCCTCTTAAAGAAGAAGTTACAGGTCTGTGAGAGCCAGAAATCTTGCTTGTTTGTAGGTGACCAAATACTTATTTTCCACCATAATCTGCAAATAAATTCATTAAAAATCCTACAGTGTGATTTTCTGGATTTTTTTTTCTTAATTTGTCTGTCATAGTTGACGTGTACCTATGATGAAAATTACAGGCCTCTCTCATCTTTTTAAGTGGGAGAACTTGCACAATTGGTGGCTGACTAAATACTTTTTTTCCCCACTGTATGTCTAATGAGTGAGTGAGGAATAGGTGAGACTAGGGTGAGGTATCCCAGAAACCCTGTGTATGAAGCTTTGCTCCTGCTATTACATGCCTGTACACACTACAGGAATTCAGTCAGTCAAATACATACAATACATTAATACAATAACACAACCAATTGACCCCAATGCAGACCCTACACATGCACTCATTTGTGTAACAGGGATGATACATACCTCTACATCCCTCTCTTTCTGCAGCAGGGAGGAGGAGAGGTCCTCTACCTGTCTCTCCAGCTCTCCCACCTTCAGGGTCAGGACACTCTTCTGTCCACTCAGCTCAGTGATCAGAGCCTCCTTACAGCGCAGAGCACCGGTCAGCTCCTCGACCACCCTACAGGAGGGGGGAGAGAGAGAGAGAGAGAGAGAGAGAGAGAGAGAGATATTAATTAAGAAATGCTATAGATGGAAGGAAAGTAGTGTCGAAACCTACCAAAAAACAATTAGGCAACAACAAATTCAATGCCTTTTCGACAACTTCCTGGACAAAACGTTCCATTGTAATAGTGAAGGTGTAAACTTAGCAGTATAAAACCTAAACAGTATATTTGACCTCTCAGCTTCCCTATCAAATCTAAAAATCTCTAACAGAAAACCAAAGAAAAGTAACAACATTGACAAATGGTTTGATGAAGAATGAAAAAACCTAAGAAAGAAATTGAGAAACCTATCCAACCAAAAACATAGAGACCCAGAAAACCTGATCCTATGCCTTCACTATGGTGAATCACTAAAACAATACAGAAATACACTATGGAAAAAGAGGAACAGCATGTCAGAAATCAGCTCAATGTAATTGAAGAATCCATCAACTCTAACCACTTCTGGGAAAATTGGAAAACACTAAACAAACAACAACACGAAGCGCTATCTATCCAAAACGGAGATGTATGGGTAAACCACTTCTCCAATCTTTTTGGCCCTATAACAAAGAACAAACAGCAAAAAAATATACATGATCAAACGCAAATCTTTTAATCAACTATTAAAGACTACCAGAACCCACTCGATTCTCCAATTACATTGAATGAACTACAGGACAAAATACAAACCCTCCAACCCAAAAAGGCCTGTGGTGTTGATGGTATCCTCAATGAAATGATAAAATATACAGACCACAAATTCCAATTGGCTAAACTGAATCTCTTTAACATCATCCTTAGATCTGGCATCTTCCCCAATATTTGGAACCAAGGACTGATCACCCCAACCCACAAAAGTGGAGACAAATTTGACCCCAATATCTACCGTGGGATATGCGTCAACAGCAACCTTGGGAAAATCCTCTGCATTATCATTAACAGCAGACTAGTTCATTTCCTCAGTGAAAACAATGTACTGAGCAAATGTCAAATTGGCTTTTTACCAAATTACCGTACGACAGACCACATATTCACCCTGCACACCCTAATTGACAAACAAACAAACCAAAACAAAGGCAAAGTCTTCTCATGCTTTGTTGATTTCAAAAAAGCTTTTGACTCAATTTGGCATGAGGGTCTGCTATACAAATTGATGGAAAGCAGGGTTGGGGGAAAAACATACAACATTATAAAATCCATGTACACAAACAACAAGTGTGTGGTTAAAATTGGCAAAAAACACACACCTTTCTTTCCACAGGGCCGTGGGGTGAGACAGGGATGCAGTTTAAGCCCCACCCTCTTCAACATATGTCTCAACGATTTGGTGAGGACACTAGAACAGTCTGCAGCACCCGGCCTCACCCTACTAGAATCTGAAGTCAAATGTCTACTGTTTGCTCATGATCTGGTGCTTCTGTCACCAACCAACGAGGGCCTACAGCAGCACCTAGATCTTCTGCACAGATTCTGTCAGACTTGGGCCCTGACAGTAATTCTTAGTAAGACAAAAATAATGGTGTTCCAAGAAAGGTCCAGTTGCCAGGACCACAAATATAAATTCCATCTAGACACCGTTGCCCTAGAGCACACAAAAAAAAATACATACCTCGGCCTAAACATCAGCGCCACAGGTAACTTCCACAAAGCTGTGAACGATGGCTTCACGAAGGGCCTTCTATGCCATCAAAAGGAACATAAAATTTGACATACCAATTAGGAACTGGCTAAAAATACTTGAATCAGTTACATAACCCTTTGCCCTTTATGGTTGTGAGGTCTGGGGTCCGCTCACCAACCAAGAATTCACAAAATGGGACAAACACCAAATTGAGACTCTGCACGCAGAACTCTGCAAAAATATCCTCTGTGTACAACGAAAAACACCAAATAATGCATGCAGAGCAGAATTAGGCAAATACCTGCTAATGATCAAAATCCAGAAAAAAGCCGTTAAATTCTATAACCACTTAAAAGGAAGCGATTCCCAAACCTTCCACAACAAAGCCATCACCTACAGAAAGATGAACTTGGAGAAGAGTCCCCTAAGTATGCTGGTCCTGGGGCTCTGTTCACAAACACAAACAGACACCACAGAGCCCCAGGACAACAACAACAACACAGTTAGACCCAACCGAATCATGAGAAAACAAAAAGATAATTACTTGACACATTGGAAAGAATTTACAAAAAAACAGAGCAAACTAGAATGCTATTTGGCCCTAAACAGAGAGTACACAGTGGCAGAATACCTGACCACTGTGACTGACCCAAACTTAAGGAAAGCTTTGACTATGTACAGACTCAGTTAGCATAGCCTTGCTATTGAGAAAGGCCGCCGTAGGCAGACCTGGCTCTCAAGAGAAAACAGGCTATGTGCACACTGCCCACAAAATGAGGTGGAAACTGAGCTGCACTTCCTAACCTCCTGCCAAATGTATGACCATATTAGAGACACATATTTCCCTCAGATTACAGAGATCCACAAAGAATTCGAAAACAAACCCAATTTTGATAAACTCGCTTATCTACTGGGTGAAATACCACAGCAGCAAGATTTGTGACCTGTTGCCACAAGAAACGGGCAACCAGTGAAGAACAAACACCATTGTAAATACAACCCATATTTATGTTTATTTATTTTCCCATTTGTACCTTAACTATTTGCACATAATATGACATTTGAAATGTCTTTATTCTTTTGGAACTTCTGAGTGTAATGTTTACTGTTAATATTTATTGTTTATTTCACTTTTGTTTACTATGTACTTCACTTGCTTTGGCAATGTTAACATATGTTTCCCATGCCAATAAAGCCCTTAAATTGAATTGAATTGAGAGAGAGAGAGAGGTCAGTATCATAGATATAGTGGGCTAAGTTTGGACTTCTAGGAGTCCTAGGCTTTTCTCCAAGAGTGTGAAGGTGTGGAATTACAGCTTTTAGGTCACTGGTTCAAATCTGGCGCGAATGACCATATAGCGTGTGTGTACCTGTCTCTGTTGGTGTGTGATGGGGGGTGGTTAGACGGGGTCTGGGGGCTCTCCTCCTCCTCTGGCCTGTCCTCCAAGTCCTCCAAGAGGGTCTGGGAGCTCGACCTAGCCAGGGAGGCCATCCTCCCAGCCTCACATCTCGCTAGCTCGGCCTCCTGGAGGAAACACATGAAAAGGTCTGGATGTCAGTCTGTGTGTTTAAAGCTGATCTAATAATATAACAACTCATTTCATCTCAACAAAGAACACAACCAATGTTTTAACAGTGTGTGTGTGTGTGTGTGTGTGTGAGTGTGTGTGTGTGTGTGTGTGTGTGCGTGTGTGTACCTCCTGCAGGAGTTGTATCTTGGTCTCCAGCAACTCCTGCATGTGGTCGATCTCCTGCTGTCTCTCCTCACATCGTCTCTGTAGCTCTGCCTCATTGTGACTGGACAGGCTCTCAGCTTTTGACCTATCAGAAGAGAGGAGAGAGAGGGAACATTGTGATTGGTCAGGCTCTCTGCTATCGTCATATTAAAAGTGAGGAAAAAATTGCGATAATTGTGATTGGTCTGGCTGTATTCTGTTGTCCTATCAGGGAGAGGACATAAGATGGAACATCATGTTAAGTGTCTATCAATAACTCCCAACAGTCATCCACATACACTCATAATACTGTGTTGCTTGTTATTGTGACATTGGTGCAGGGCAGACCAATGGCGTCAATCCTGGGTCGTTTTAGGGTTGTATTGTGGTCAGGTCAGGACTAAGACAGGATATGAGGTCATATGAAGTATCCCTGCTATCTCATGGGATACCCTACACCTCCCATCTACAAATAGAGACCAGTCACACACCCAGGGTGTAAACTTTTATTGTGTTCACTTATAGTTCTGTGAGAGCGCCACGAAAACATCACTCAGACCAAGGCTGGAATTCGGTCAAACTCGCCATAGCTATAATTAAGCATTCTGAGTGTTAGTTTACAAACTACTGTCGGTGCACATACACATCGTATTGTGAAAACTGGAGCATCTACCTGTGAGGGGAGTCTACTGCTAGTAGTAGTACACCCTGTGACTGTGTGTGCATATTAATACAGTAATGTAATGTTGATTAGCTGATCTGATGCTATCTCCATATTAATACAGTAATGTAATGTTGATTAGCTGATCTGATGCTATCTCCATATTAATACAGTAATGTAATGTTGAATAGCTGATCTGATCCTATCTCCATATTAATACAGTAATGTAATGTTGATTAGCTGATCTGATGCTATCTCCATATTAATACAGTAATGTAATGTTGATTAGCTATCTGATGCTATCTCCATATTAATAAAATAGTGTAATGTTGATTAGCTGATCTGATGCTATCTCCATATTAATAAAATAGTGTAATGTTGATTAGCTATCTGATGCTATCTCCATATTAATAAAATAGTGTAATGTTGATTAGCTGATCTGATGCTATCTCCATATTAATACAGTAATGTAATGTTGATTAGCTGATCTGATCCTATCTCCATATTAATACAGTAATGTAATGTTGATTAGCTGATCTGATCCTATCTCCATATTAATACAGTAATGTAATGTTGATTAGCTGATCTGATGCTATCTCCATATTAATACAGTAATGTCATGTTGATTAGCTGATCTGATCCTATCTCCATATTAATACAGTAATGTAATGTTGATTAGCTGATCTGATGCTATCTCCATATTAATACAGTAATGTAATGTTGATTAGCTGATCTGATCCTATCTCCATATTAATACAGTAATGTAATGTTGATTAGCTGATCTGATGCTATCTCCATATTAATACAGTAATGTAATGTTGATTAGCTGATCTGATGCTATCTCCATATTAATACAATAATATAATGTTGATTAGCTGATCTGATGCTATCTCCATATTAATAAAATAGTGTAATGTTGATTAGCTGATCTGATGCTATCTCCATATTAATACAGTAATGTAATGTTGATTAGCTGATCTGATCCTATCTCCATATTAATACAGTAATGTAATGTTGATTAGCTGATCTGATCCTATCTCCATATTAATACAGTAATGTAATGTTGATTAGCTGATCTGATGCTATCTCCATATTAATACAGTAATGTAATGTTGATTAGCTGATCTGATGCTATCTCCATATTAATACAGTAATGTAATGTTGATTAGCTGATCTGATGCTATCTCCATATTAATAAAATAGTGTAATGTTGATTAGCTGATCTGATGCTATCTCCATATTAATACAGTAATGTAATGTTGATTAGCTGATCTGATGCTATCTCCATATTAATACAGTAATGTAATGCTGATTAGCTGATCTGATGCTATCTCCATATTAATACATTAATGTAATGTTGATTAGCTGATCTGATGCTATCTCCATATTAATACAGTAATGTAATGTTGATTAGCTGATCTGATGCTATCTCCATATTAATACAGTAATGTAATGTTGATTAGCTGCCATGTGAGCAGGAAGGCAGGGGGAACAGAATGACCCATTACACCAGCTGTGGAGCTGGCAGTGATTAGCAGTTAGCATGCTAACGGCTCTCCTCCATCAGCCACATATTTATGCTGAGACCCCCTACCAACACACACTACTTCTGATCATCAATCTTTCCCAGGCTATGGACTCTAGGCTGGAGGCTAGGGGTGGGGGGTTGAAGGCACGAGCCAGCAAAGTGGAATTTAATCTCATAGCAATCTGATGAATACACAGAATATGTCAATCAAATTGATTCCCCTCCAGGGGGAGTATTAAAGTCAAAGCCTAGCGGCAACAGCAGGGGTAGGGGTTCGGAGGGGGGCAAGGATGGACGTGCCAGGTATTGCCTTCCATATCCCTGTCTGGATGCCCAGATATCAGGGTTGCCCTTTTGGAGCTGGCGAGTGTGCGATCTCATTGGGACAGACACCAGGAGTACACGTGTGTGTGCATCGTGCGGGAGTGTGTGTGTGTGTGCGTACAGTATGGGCAATGTGCACATGCAAAGTGTGTGTGTGCGTGTGGCGTGTGTGTGTGTCTGACTGTGAATGCTCGTGTGTGTGTGTGTGTGTGTGTGTGTGTGTGTGTGTGTGTGTGTGTGTGTGTGTGTGTGTGTGTGTGTGTGTGTGTGTGTGTGTGTGTCCAGTCCTTTCTCACTCCACCAGCTGTTGTATGAAACATGAGCTGAGGTGTTACCTCTAAACTTTTGATTCTACCCTCTGAGGGACTCACTACCGATTACTGCTCTATGCCTACAGTCCCCTGCTATAGGCTTGTTATCCTGCTATAACACCATCTCTGTATGAGGACTTACTGAGAAACAGCTTTGTTAAGGCTCATCAAACAAAGACAAACACTCACCGTAATCACTTGGGCAAATTGTATTTCTGCATACCAGCAAAGCATGTCGTATGTAGTCATGGGTCTTTGGAAAACATTAAGATAATTGCATTGTATTGGTTTTGTACTATGCTACATACAGTAGGCGGGTCTCGAAGGGAATTTCAGGAAGGGTAAGAGGACAGTATTCTATTGGTGGATATGTGGCATTAGGTAAACATTAGGTAATCCATTCACAATGCATACATAAAATCTGTTGGTTGGCTGTCAGTCTACAACCGCAATTTAATTTACGTCATTTCGCAGACGCGCTTATCCAGAGCGACTTACAGTTAGTGAGTGCATACATTATTTTTTTATTTTTCATACTGGCCCCCCGTGGGAATCGAACCCACAACCCTGGCGTTGCAAACGCCATGCTCTACCAACTGAGCTACATCCCTGCCGGCCATTCCCTCCCCTACCCTGTACGACGCTGGGCCAATTGTGCGCCGCCCCATGGGTCTCCCGGTCTGACGTCGGTCAATACATTCAACATTCAACTGTCAGTCTGTATGTGTCGTACTGGACTTACAGAGCCTGGTCAAGAAGGTCTTGTTTCTCCTGTAACTCCTGCTTCAAGCTCTCCACTTCTACCTTCAACTCAATGTTCTGGAACACAGGGAGAATAGAACATGAAATCAGACTGGAATTCTGTTTGATAGAAACATTTACATCATCATCCTCATCCTCACTGTCATCATCATCATCATCCTCACCCACATCATAACGATTCATCTCAAAAGATAAGGAATATCAAATAGAAACTTTAAAACAAGTCAATGAAGTCATAAAAACTCAAAGAAGTACAGACACCATTAGTACAATTACTGTAAAACACAGGAAGAGAGTTGTAGTCTCACACCAGCTATACATGGTGACTGATACAGAACCATAGACATACATCACGTTCTAGAACTTCACTTGAGAAGTCTGGTCATATGAGTTGATTGGCCTCTTACGAACACTTGATGTGGAGTGACCCTCACAAATACAGCATAATAACATTGTCTGTGTTCCTGTCACAAAACCATGAGTACACTATGATAAGCCTGACGGCGCAATGGACAGTAGCTGGACTGTGTGGACTGTATATGGACTGTAGACAGACTGTGTGGACTATAGATGGACTGTAGATGGACTTTAGATGGACTGGGTGGACTGTAGATGGACTCTGTGCTGATGCCTCAGTGCAGGTGTTGTACCTGTTCTATTTTCTGCCACCTGTCTCTGTGACAAACCTCAGCAGGGATTCTCCAGATGAGAGATGAGACGTGTTTGAGAGCAGTGTTGCTGTGAGAACAGTGTTGCTGTGAGAGCAGTGTTGCTGTGAGAACAGTGTTGCTGTGAGAACAGTGTTGCTGTGAGAAGACCCTGTACCAGAAGAGGCTGGTGGGAGGAACGGTACACCCTATTCCTCTGCACACCTGAGGTATACCCTATTACCCTCCTGGAAACTCCTACCTTCCAAATACACCTAATGCTTGTCTTGTACAGTATCCTGTGTCTCCTATCCCCCTCCAACCCCTTCCCACAGCTAGTCAGCAACAGCAACCCTAAACTCACAACCTGTTCTCTCTCCTTCTCACCCCAAACCCCCAAATACCTTCACCATCTACACCTGACCCCGCACCCCTCCTATCCTGCATTGATTTCCCTCCCTCCCCCTCTCTCTGCTGAATCAATCAGAGTGGTGTGGTGTGTATATGTAACATCAGTAGGGAACATGGTTCTCTCCTGTCACAGAGGTTATATTTAAACCAGGGGGAAAGCAGAGCATCTCTGGGGCTTAGACCAGGGGTCAACCTGTGAACCAGAATCGGGTTCTGAGGCAGGACAGGGCCTTTAGGATAGGGATTTGGAAAATGGATTGGCAATGGTGAGGTTCAATATGGTCCGGTTGTGACCCTGGACAGGGATAGGACACTTCTCTCTCAATTCAAATTCAATTCAATTTAAGGGCTTTACTGGCATGGGAAACGTGTGTAAACATCTCTCTCTCTCTCTCTCTCTCTCTCTCTCTCTCTCTCTCTCTCTCTCTCTCTCTCTCTCTCTCTCTCTCTCTCTCTCTCTCT